GCAGGTGTCAGGTGATAGAAAACATATTGCATCGAAAGGCACAGTGCGTGGGATTTAAGACTTCCACTCACCAGTGAGTCGCTGTACCATGGACGAACTCTGTACCAAGTCACTACCAACAACATCGACGCCGAAAAACTGGACTGCTCGGGAAACACCTCTCGGATAGTTTCGTCTGCTTCGCAAAACTGCATTTCATTTTGCGATGACCGTAGAAGTTGACGATGCAAAACCAATCCGAAGTCAGTTGTGTCCACGTCAGTCATGAAAACAGCAATCAGTGGTGTCAGCATCAAGGGCAATGGATCACTTTGGAAGGAACTCAGTTCATCACCAAATGAAATAACTCCATTGGTGTTCACCTGAAAAAGGTAGGAATATGGACAGGCATTTCAATACAAGTGAATGCGTGACTCCATCGTAATTAGAGCTGACCTGACCATTTTGATCCAAACCTGTTTGTTTAGTGATCCATTTATGAAAGTGTATGATGCAGTGCAGGAAAGTGAAAAAAATAATTTGCTGTTTATCTGCTATTTCTTGGAAAACCGATGCCAAAAACGAAATATTTTCCCCCAAAATAAAACCAGTGTGTCCCTGTTACAAATGAAACCAACTCTTTGTCTATTTTGATATCATGCTGAATAGCATGAAAATGTGCTGAACACTTCAGAAAAGAAGACCGAGTCTCAATACTGTAACCAACATTATTAATAAAAGTTCAGTTTATCGACAAATCCGACAACCAAAACTAGACGTCATTACTACGGAGTCATCCTGTTCGCACAAAGTGCGGTGCGCGCGCGTGAAATTCCTCCTTAACCAATAGGCGGTAGTCAACTGCCGAAGTGCGCGCGTGCGCGCTTAGGTTGAGACAGCTGCGTGAGTGTAAATGGCCCCTCGGAATGGCGTCTTATCGGATTTGTCTATACTTGGGACCCCTTACACACCATTCACAAATGTATTGAATACATTGGACCTAAATATGACCTCGTCTTTTATTATGTACTTTGAGTTTGATCTGTAATTTCGCTGTCCGTTCTATCAGTCTTTCCCAGGCCACACATGGTTTGCCAGTTACTTCATTTGAAAAGAAGAGAAAACAAACACAAAAATAACAAGTAAACAACCTACATAGAATGAACTGTAGTTGCGACCAAAGAAGAAAAACGGAAAGGCAAAGAAAACTTCCCCGGATGTTTCTTCATCCTCTTTAGGCAGATACCTCACGTCAGGTCCCAGAAATGGAAATAAAATACCTGAAACAAAGGAAACAAGTCAGTGAGGTTAAGGAATGAAACTTGTCTCAACGTAATGTTTATAGAAAATGTTATTTTTTAATCACTTTTTTATTCAGCGTTTTGATCTTTCTGCCCGCCAATTAAGCGATTCAACCGGTAATGCCATAACGTAGTCTTAACAATGAGATTGTTAGTATACACTCCAAAATACTCCTAAGTCTTTAGTATCTGCGCCAACAGAGGTACTCTGTTGAGCATCGTCACCGCAGTCGGTACAGACGGCCACAAACTCATAGATTATCATTTAATCGGTTTTTTTTGTTTATATACTTATGATGTCCCACAAATCATACCTTAAACATTTGTGCTGCCTTTCTTTCTAAATTTGTCAAGGATTGGACTTTACCATCAAAGATACTCCTAGCTCTCCGGGCTCTAAAAAGACGTCAAAACGCCACTTGACAAGTATGCACAAAAGTCTTTAAACTTACAAGGCAGTTGCTGATAAGGGTATACAATCATAAGCCGTGCATCTTGATACACGGACCTCGAGGCCCTGTTGTCTTCAACTAGCTTTGTTGATCGGTCATGAGGCCAATGAAGGGTAAAGAATTTATTGGGAAATGTTTGGGATTTCCTTTCACAGTTGAAATTTTAACCATTTGACACTCTTAAAAGAGGACTCTGATATAAGTATAGGATTTGGAAAGGGATAATCAGAAGTCACCAAGAAATCTTAGAACAAGGAAGGATCCCTAACCAATCTTTCGGGGGGGAGGAGGATATTTTAGCGAAGCCAAAACACTGAGTACTTTTATGTGCCATTTATGGCCTTTGAGAGGGATAAGGCTCAAAGAAGTGCGCATTGCCATTCTTTCATTATACTAAAAATCCCCTTTTGGGCGGCATGGCCCATTTCCCCTTTCTTTTCATTCGGATATTTCAAAGTCGTCCATGGAGAAGCCAAATGTTGCCAACTATTATGAAAGCTGCTTTACAAAGAAGGGTCCCAAAAATCTCACCAGACACGATTACATGAAACTGGCAGGGAGTAGCATTATTGCCAGCAGCATCAACGGCTTCACATTCTACTGTCGTCACCCCAAGAGGAAAGGTTTCGTTGGATGTGACTGGGACCTTCATTGAGTCTCCGTCTACAAGTGAGCAACTGGCAGCAACTGGGCCGTCGACGACATCAACGGCAGACACTACGTCAGTGTCCCAGACGACCCGACTCTCGTTGGTTCCTCCTGTCACGTACACAGCGTCGGGGGATTTGCAGCTTTGAAATATCGGTGATTCGTTATCTAAAAATAAAGTCATATCATTACAATAAAAGTCAAGGCAAACACCTTATTCAATAAAACAAAACGACACGTAAATTGCCATACGAAAGATAACAGTACTTGTCCTAATGAAGTACAATCGTTACGATGTACAATGAATTTAATGCTCTTCTTGGAAAAACGCAAGTGCAAATCGATCAGTTAACCACCTTTCTATGAATTATATGAGACTTTTTTTACCAAAAACAGTCACATCAAATCTACAGGTTGCAGCGTCTGCGTTACAGGTGACCCTGGTTGAACCGACCGGAAACAAGTAGTCTGTCGTCACGATGATGTCATCACCACCATTTGGGTTTGGAATTGAACATGACACGGGTAGTGGGGTATCATCGGCTATTTTCACGGCCGACGGACGGGGAGGAGTCCAGTTCACATTGCCAAGGCTACTCCCGCTGCTCACATTGACGGCCTCAGTGGATGGACATCTGATTACCACTGGTCCTATTTAGAGCCATGGAATAATGAAAGGAGCAGGAAGAACTAACGTGGCTATACCATAATCATAACGAGCCAGTTCAATGGTCCAAAGGTGAACATCTTTTCCCTTGGCTTCCAATGGTATGCGATTCGTGACGTGTAATTCTCTTCGTGTCAGAAGTTCGTTTGATAAACACAGCTCTATATCTCGAGACCCAACCGTTTCTCCTGCCTCAGTCATTACACAGAGTGTCCCAGAAAAAAGTCCTGAAACCACTCTTGAATGTCGTCAACATTGTGTGCTCTATGCCTATAACCATGTATGCACCATAACGGAGGAGCAACATGCTTTCAGATGATAAAATGACTGAAGGAAAGACGTCTGAAAGCATTCTGTTTCAATTTTGAACAAAAAACACACACACGATTATACTTGTACATTTCAAACGTCGGTCAATTCACCATTGTGTTAGGATTCGTGTTTTTTTCCGGCACAGCTTGTGTAGGCTACATCACTACTTTTAAAACATTTATACCACCATACCCTGTATTTCATCGAGATCAATTCGGAACAGCCATCGGCCTGTCGTGTTAATGTTGGACCTCAGGTCGATGTTGACAATGTCATCACTCTGTGAGCCGGGTACTTCGTAGTAGTTGACGCCATCGCTGGCGTCGAAACCAACCTATACATTCACAAACGGTAAATTATCACCACAATATCGGACAACACACACTTTTATATGAAGGAAGTTTTTATAGCGAAGACAGCTACCTCAACGAGGAAAAATCGAGAACCCTCTTAAATAGGTCGACGAATTAATTAGCAGCAACATCAGCATTTTGTAGGATTGTGCCCACAAAAGAACGGAAGAGGGAGGTCGAATGAACTGGCTTGCAGGTTATGATAGGTACGGGAAATAAAAGTTGATACGGAATGTCTTGGACTTGAATTAGGCAGCGAATTTTCCTCTCTTTCCCTCATTAAATTTCCTGTTGGATTAGATCAGTTTTGAAAGCTCTTTTATTTACCGTCAAAATTTCTAGCCTCACAATTTCTCTTATTCAAGTGAAAAACGCTCATTTCAACTCATTAACGACATTAAGCCTTGAACCTTACTAAAGTGGAACGTAAATTACATAGTGTGTCAGACATTCGGATATTCTCATTTCGATTGTTGGTATTTGCCTTAAAAGCCTAGTTTATAAATCGCCATGAGGATTAGGAGCGGGCGGAATCACACCAGAAACAAACGTGATCTGATCGTTCGTTCACGAAGCGACAAATCACAGAGCATCACCGACAAACTACTCCATTGAAATGCCGACATGACTGACAGCGACAATCATTACAAGGAGTTTTTTTTCAGATTCTAAGAATGCATCATGTTTTCTCTTCAATTAAAATACCTGGGCGGGAATGCCTCCAAGTCCTGATTCGTTGCCGTCTGATGACGTACCGGTAGTCCACGTTACATTCGCGTAGTTAAACATGGCAAACGATTGGACTTCGTTTGTCAGCAAAATAACTTGGAATGTATTGTACTGAGGAATAGAAAAGAGATATATCAAGACAGGATAAGATAAAGATGGCTTTAATGATATATAAAATCATACACAATACAATGCTGTGCTTGGTAAGAGTTCCACGATTCCCACATTTTGAATTCTCGCAACATACATGCACATTGATCATATGGACCTTTATTCACTTAACAATATCAGAACATTTGTAGTTCATAGTTAATTGTGTTAGATTATTGCAATCCACCTGCAGGCGACAGAACGGTTGAATTTAATCAGATATTTTAATTTTAAGAGATCCTCCTACAATGATTTGCGTGCACATTCAAATTTGTACTTTGAAAAGATTGTGGAGCTATCTTTTATTAGGCGATCGAAAATCAAACGAATTTGGATACTTCTCGGCAGTGCCACTCACAATTGCTGAAGGATCGTCGTTGTCGTCGGCTCCGTGAAAGACCACTTTGTGCCAAGTCGCTACC